TCTGAGTGACACACTCCTTTTAGATGCTGAGCCTGATAATCTAGCATCTGACATGCGGCCATTTTCTTGTTGTTTCTCTTGCAGCCGTATAAGCTGAGAGTATGCTCCATTAGGATCCTTTACTAATTCATCATGATGTCCTGCATTTATAGGTATAAATGAATAATCTTTCTCTGAACCTTTTTGCACAAAAGGAAGCTAAAGAATGTGCTCAAGAGGCAATTACCTTGTTCTACTAGTTTTCCTTTAGAAACAACTGAGATGCAGTGAGCATTTCTTACAGTGCTCAAACGGTGCGCCACAACAAGTGTGGTTCTCCCCACCATGATCCTATTTAATGCATCTTGGACTATCCTTTCAGACTCCAAATCCAATGCGCTAGTTGCTTCATCAAGCAAAAGAATTTTTGGGTTTTTAAGGATGGCTCTCGCGATCGCAATCCTCTGCTTCTGTCCCCCAGAAAGCTGTGCACCCCGTTGTCCAACTGTTGTGTCATAACCCTGAAATCATATAAATACATGATCAGTCTTATAGTTTTATACATGACCATGAATTATTATTGTGCAGATCATGTTCATGTAAGTACATCAGGCAAGTTCTCAATGAATCTTGCTGCATTTGCGAGCTCAGCTGCTGTCTTGATTTCTTCAAGGGTTGCATCCTCTTTTCCATAGGTAATATTCTCCCTGATGGACGTCATAAAAAGCAGTGGTTCCTGGTTAACAAGTCCAATCTTCCCCCTTATCCATTCTAGCTTGAAACCTTTGATGTTCATCCCATCAATTAAAACTTCTCCAGCTTGTGGATCATAAAATCTCTCAACCAGATTGATCACAGTTGACTTCCCACTCCCACTCTCCCCGACTATGGCCATTGTTGTGCCACTTGATGCATGCACTGAAAATCCATTAAATATCAGTTGATCTGGCCTGCTTGGGTAGCTGAAGAACACATCCTTCAGTTCTACTTCACCCTTGATGTCCTCTAACACAATGCCAGTGCTATCCCCATAGTCAATTTCAGGTCTCCTCTTGATTGTTTTGAACAATCTGTAAGCCGCAACTCTTCCTTCCTCAAAGGAAGCTATGCAGGGGGTTGCATCACCTAAATTTCTGTCCCAAACAGTTAAAAAAATTCATGTTAGCAGACAGATGTGATCTATTTTGTTGTGATAAAGTACTAGAACACGGATCAAAAACAGATACCGTTAATATAAACTTCTTACGGGTAAAATGCTAGAACAAGGCACGCTATTTGTTGAATTTTACTATTAGAGAAGGACATTTTCAGCATCAGTGCTCACCTTGCACCTATCATGATTGCAAACATTACAGTTATGATATCTCCTCCGCTATATCCTTTAGTGAGGCTTAACTTGCTGCCATACCATATAAGCAGTCCAAAGGCGGAAAAATATATTAATGAAAGTAAACCCATTCCAAAGCCTTGGACAGCCCCTTCCTTGACTGCGCCTTTGTATGCCTTCTTTATGAAATTGTTGTACAGGGTAATGGCTTTCTTTTCACCATTGAAGGAAGCCACCTGTTATTTACTATGATTACAAGTCAGTCACAAACTTATTATCTGTTGCATGATCAAGATAGCATAGGGCCTACCGTTCTTATGGAGCCAATTGTTCGTTCAACAATATCACCTGCATCACTGTATGATGCTAGGCCCTCGCTAGATATTTTGGATAGCATCTTTGCGACAATTCCAGCAGCAACAACAAATGGTGGTATAGTAGAAAGCATAACAAGAGTTAGAAGCCACCCTTTGATGAACGCCAGCACAAACCCGCCGAAGAAAGTTGTAATAAGCTGTACAAACTTGCCGACCTAAAGACCGAAAAATCAAGAATGTGCGAGTGTAAAAAAAAAAACTAAATTAAACTGCAACATACTGCAAAGTGCATGCTCAATTATATTAGGAAGGTTAGTTGGAGCATCACTGGGGTAGCAGCTGATCAGTTTATTTGTTCTTTTGTATCAGATCTAAATCATTGAAGAAGATGCAAGGTTTATGTGCTTACCTTTTCACCTATAGCACCCTGAATTAAGGTCATGTCGGCAGATATGCTGGAGACTACTTGTCCAGTAGTCATTTCTACATCAAAGAATGTCATATCCTGTCTGAGGACCGACTTGAGATACAATGATCGAATACGAGTAGCCTGCCTCTCCCCAGTCATTGTCCAGCATGATATCTCTGGTAAGCATTGGTGTTATGGTCATGTATTTGCATTTGAGCATTATTTAAGATACTAAGAATGATTCAGCGGCATTCCAATTCTTAAAGACCCACAGAAGTACTACCTGGCGATCTGATACTCAGATTTCTATTCATAGGTATTATACTATCACGAAAATATTGCTCAGATATGATTCCAAGCTCAAAAGTTGCCCATATTATATATGTTATAGATGGCCAAATAGGATAGTGTGGCATGTTCACACCACTTGGTTGGGAGAGAAGTATCCTTTTCAGCTTTTAACGAATCATCTTCTGGAGACTGACAACCATTTATCCACTTAAAATTGTGCATAACAGTTATACTTACGAATGAAAGAAGTGAACCCCGTTCCAATGGCCAAGTAAATGAAGTTCAGAGCTGCCTGAAAGAAAATGCTAGCCATATCAATTGTACATGCAATAACTAGCCAGGAAGATCACAAAACAAGTATTCTTCTGTATAACATACTGCAGCTGAACTATAATTATCATCACGTTTTTTATGCGTAAACAATTATTGTTACTTACACAGAAAATTGAGGACATGAAGGTGCACGGATATCAAATTTGTCATCTATTTTACAAGTAATCAATGGCTAATCCTCTATATAATAAGAGTCGCAGACTATGGCTAGCAGAGGGCCGTTACAGCCATACCTTGTTGACTCGGGGAACAATGGTGTCTGGGGTGGCACCCCCAAAGGCATCAATCATCTGCCCGAAGATGATTGTCATGATCACCATCGACATGCCATTGCCCAGCGCCCCAACCATGCCGACCAGCATCAGCAGAACGTCCGTTCTGTCAGCGTACTTAAACATGCTGTGGAACGGAACTTTAGCCATTGCCACCATCTTCTCGCCATTCTCCTCCTTTTCCTCGCCATTCACTACATCACCAGCGGAATCTTTGGGGACGCTTTTTTCTGCCATTTCGTGCCTGCCCAGTACCGGGTTCTCCCTGCTGCATATGGCTTTTTTGTAGTGCCGTTTTCTAGGTTTTCTATAGGCAACTTACTTTGCTGTTAACTGCATTCATAAGAACGATAATGATGCAGACAAGCGTCCAAACTGACAGAGGAGCTGAGTCCACTATGGAGCATTCGGATGTACCGTAGTTGCTTGTAAGCATCTGTATAATGTCGTCAGCTGTTATCTTAGCTTCAGTCAGCATTTGTGTTAAATCTGTTAGATTAGTTATGCTTAATACTAATCATGAAGATATAAACTGTCCATGCCCGAATCATGGTGATGATTAACTAAGATACGAGGTCTTCTGACAGAAAGCAACCACTTGTATTTAGCAGGTGTTTGCATCATAAGGTGACTAGGACATTTGGCTGAGTTTGCTCGGATTCGACCGGATGAGTTCGACGGCATGACCTGGTCGTGCAGCTTTGCTGTCTGTTGCGATGATATATCTGTACTTGGTCTGTGACCCAGCGTAGTTTCTGTTTTAGAAGGAACCACGGCAGCCAAAATGCCGGCCTGAACTTTGTTTAAACGAATGCATAGGCATTTGCATAATGCATACAAGGATTTGCTAGATCATGCCTAATGGGTTTGTGTACGAGTCTTCTTATACTCATTTTTTTTCTCAATATACTGGTACATTCATACGCAGATGTCACATTATCACGTGTATTCGAGGGGGGAAAAGACATTCTTCGACTTTTCAGTCCACTGGTAGCCCGGTGAGCCCAAAGCCTGACCGCCTGACATCAGTAATGGTGTTGGAGTGTTGCCAAGGATGCGTGGGCACATACACCTCCTGATTGCTGAAACTCTTCAGCATGGCGCCCCTTCCAAATGTCGCAGGCTCGCAGAGCAAGCAAATGATGGTGGTGGATTCAACTCTTTCCGAAAGTCCAGCGACCAGACTTAAGGACCAGAGGCTCTCGACTGCATCGTCCGGTGGGCTGAAGCCTGAGGAGAAAAACAGCTGCCAAACCTGGTTCATCCGAGCCGAGGGTTCTTGGTCTTCATCGCCACAACAACTGTCATGCCATCTTCTGGTGAAGTTTCTGTGAGCAAGGAGGGTTCTAGTTGGGACATTACCACTTTACCAGACAATAGAAACTGTACTAGCAATGAATGTTTGAGTACGTAAATGACACAGAGGCTGTAATGAAATTTCTGTTACCAGAAAAGTTCATCACATGGCGCGTCTAAGTTCATCACCCAGTCTGCTGGTGCCTGCTGCCATGACTGCGACCTTGCAGACTGCAGGACGAACCAAGTGCAAAATGGCAAGATTGCTTGACCGCAGGATCCTGGTTGAGGCGCCATGGGTATCAACCAGCTCGATCGCCTTCCGTTTGTCCGTTTGGCGGGCCAAGTGAGCAACGTCCTGCTGTCTGCTGACACATGTCAGAACCTGAGCGCTTCCCCAACGCAAGGACGTGTGGTGTACTGCCTCAAAGGCTCAAACTCCAGGTTGGCGCCTAGCATCCATATCAAACCAACAGATAGCCTCGCCGATCGAGCGCATAGTGACCTGCAGCAGTGATCTTGTCTGCTGAAGGTACCACCAGAGCAAGCGTTGGCTGAGAGAGGATTAGAGGAACTACACTAGATCAAGGGCAGGCATCTCTAATTTTTTGGTGAAACTACTACAAAACATTAGCCTCCCTTGAGTTGGCATCAAATGGTGTCCGACACAATACAGTTTGTTCGGTAAAAGAGGAAGATACACATAGACTCCCAGCATGAACACCGGTCACGTACAAATGGTGTCTGACACGTGAGCCCAGGCATCGGAGGGAAGGTCATGCTGACGAGGAGACACCGGCGCGCTCGGACCTCATGCGGAGCTCCACGAGCGACGCGTACACGCCGTCCCTGGCCGCCATCAGCTGCTGGTGCGTGCCCTGGGCGACGACCTCGCCGTTCCCCAGCACGGCGATCACGTCGGCGTCCCTGATCGTCGACAGCCGGTGCGCCACCACGACCGTCGTCCTGCCGGCCGCGGCCCGGTCCAGCGCCTCCTGGACGGCGCGCTCCGACTCGGCGTCCAGCGCGCTCGTCGCCTCGTCCAGGAGCAGGATCCTCGGGTCCCTCAGCACGGCCCTCGCGATGGCCACCCGCTGCTTCTGCCCGCCGGACAGCTGGGCGCCCCTCTCGCCGGCCACGGTGCCGTAGCCCTGCGGCAGCGCCGAAATGAACCGGTGCGCGTTCGCGGCCTTCGCGGCGGCGGTGATCTCTTCTTCCGTCGCCTCGCCTTCTTTCCCGTAGGCTATGTTCGCGCGAATGGTGTCGTTGAACAGGATCGGCTCTTGGCTCACCAGCCCCATCTGCCGCCGCAGCCAGCCCACCTTGAGGTCCTTGATGTCCACACCGTCCAATGTGATCGTGCCAGAATCAGGGTCATAAAATCTCTCCAGGAGAGCGATGATGGTGGATTTGCCGCAGCCGCTCTCGCCGACGAGGGCAACCGTCTGTCGAGAGAGCATCAAAGTTAACTGCCTGCTGATAACTGGTAGTAGTGGCGCTGATTGCAGTAAAATTAAAGGAAGGAAAATGTTGAGTGGTTTCGTACCTTCCCAGATGGTATTCTCAAGTTGAGATCTCTGAATATTTGAATATCAGGTCGGGATGGATATGAGAAACCGATCTGGCGGAGCTCAAGTTCACCAGCGACGTCAACCAAGACCATGCCGTCATCACTGCTAGGATCGATCTTTGATTTACTATCAATGAGTGCAAATATAGTTGATGTTGATGCTTTGGCCTTGGCATAATCTGAACCTAACACACTTCTCTGTGAAACGCCTGCGGTTGCCAAGAGCAGAGCAAAGAACACCTGCAGAAGAATACAGCAGTTTGCTATGCATAATGCGAGCGAACTTGAAGCTTAGTAATCTGAACAGTTTGCTTACTCTGAATACTTCAGTGAACGTGGCCTTGCCATCAAGAATAAACTTCGCTCCAATGTAGAAACAAAGGGCATATGTAGAATACATTAGGAAGAATGATACACCAAAGGCCAAGCCACTGACAATGCCTTGACGGGTCCCCTGCTGCACTGGAGCTTTGCATTTTCCATAGTAAGTCTTCATTACCTTAGGCTCCGCACAGAAAGAAGCAATAGTTCGAATACCACTGACAGCATCATTTGCCACTTGAGTTGCTTCTTCATACATTGCCTGCAGTCCACCATTTAGGGAAAAAGAATAACTAAGTTCAATTAGCCAAATGACATTATTCTTTTTTTTTACCAGAGATGCATGGCATTCAGCATGCTACCTTGGCATCTGCACTGAATCCCTCCAAGAACTTTATTTGGAGGAATCCCTGGAGACCCCCCCAAGGAAGCACTACCGTGGCAACGAGGGCAAGCCTCCAATTTGCAACCATTGCAATGACAAATCCTGCAATAACTGTAACAGTGCTTCGAACCATCAATGCCAATGAATCGCCTACAAGACGTCGTATATTTGAAGCATCGACAGACAGCCTTGCACCAACATTTCCACTGGACATAGAAATTAATGACATAAAAAATATGAAATGCAGTTGTCATCAGAAATCTGGTGAATAGCAGAATATTTGGAGGCTGACCTAGCATTTGAAGGCCTATCAAACCAGCTGATTTCTTGACAAACAATGTTTTGAAAAGATAACGAGCGAATGCGTTCAACCAATTTTCCACCAGCTACTCCAAAAAGGAAATTCTCCACTGGTAGGATAATAAACGAAGCAACTCCTGATGCTACATACATCAATGTCCAGAACCGTGAATCTTTCTGGAGTTGATGAGGAGGCTCATAAAATGAATTGATGGAACTGGACATCAGCAAACCTAACACTGGAAACATAACACCTGATATGACTGCAGCCACTGTACCTAACAGAAGGACTGGCATCTCAGGTTTATTCAGAGAAAATAAGACGAGAGAGGGCAACCTTCCTGCATTCTTCACCTTCATCCGATACTTTAGGCAGTGGTTCAGTATCTGTGCTCTCCAGGACAATCATGTTGGCACTAGTGATCAAGTGCACGCTGGTACTCCCTAATGAAGCGCCACCAGTTATTGACCTCTTGAGAGATGGAGCATGCTTAGATTTGTTCAAGGACTCGACATTTCTGACAGCTGAAGTAGACCTTTGATAATCTACATCAGATGCATCTGGTTCTCCAGTTATATCCTGCAGCTGGATAAGCTGGGAATATGCACCATTGGGGTCCTGAAGTAGTTCAGTGTGTGTGCCTGTTTAACATTTAAAGGTGACAAGATCAAACTCCAGAATCATCAGATAAACATAATGAAAGCATGCAAGGTTCAGACCTAGTTCAACTACTTTTCCGCGATGTATGACTGATATAGTGTCAGCATCTTTTATAGTGCTCAATCGATGGGCAACTATGATCGTGGTCTTGCCTTGCATAATTCTGTTAAGGGCCTCCTGAACCACTCTCTCAGACTCCATATCTAGTGCACTTGTTGCTTCATCAAGCAGCAAGATTTTGGGATTTTTCAGTATTGCCCTTGTGATTGCAATTCTTTGTTTCTGCCCTCCAGACAATTGTGCTCCATGCTCACCAACCATTGTGTCTAGGCCCTGAAATAACAAAGTTCACGATTAATTGCGGTTAGTTATAGTATAGATGAAATTTTGCACAAGTATAAAACAATTTAGTTTAATCTACATACATTAGGTAACTTATCAATGAAATTTGCTGCATTAGCAAGCTTTGTCGCGGCCATTATCTCCTCGTCTGTTGCATCTTCTTTCCCATAGACAATGTTCTCCCGAATACTAGTGGCAAACAACAGTGGTTCTTGACTAACAAGACCGATATTTTCCCTTAGCCATCCAAGCCTCAGGCTTTTTATGTTAACACCATCTATTGAAACTTCACCAGCCTGAGGGTCATAGAATCTCTCCACAAGATTAATCACTGTCGACTTCCCACTACCACTCTGTCCCACTATAGCCATTGTTTTTCCACTTAATACATGCAACGAGAAGCCATCAAATATCAATTGATCACGTCTAGATGGGTACGAAAAGTATACATCCCTTAGCTCTATATCACCCTTCATGTTTGCTAGCACGATCCCATCTGTTCCATTAGGATCAATTTGTGGCTTCCTTTGGATTATCTGCATCATTCTGTGCCCAGCAGCCCGGCCAGAAGCAAAAGCAGTCACGCATGGTGTTGCCTCACCTAATGACCTGATAAGGAGAAATGTGAAGAACAATTATGCAGGAACGAATATTCATTTTCATGATAAAATGAATAGTAATATCACCTCCACCATAAATCAAAATACTGTCAGTGCAATGGAAAACCGTTATTGAAATCACTTCTGGAACAAAGTGATTGAACCAATCGTTTAGATGGTTTGTGAAAATGTATGCCTAATGATTCTGTCATGTTATACATGAATTAGAGTATGATCAAATAATATACCTCACGTTGGGAAGGCTAGAGCACATTACATGTAATCAATGGATTCAAATTCAAAATACTGGAAAATTGTAGTTGAGGATTATAGAATTGTGTCTATGCACCTTGCACAAGAATTAATTGATCAAGAAAGAAAATATATGCATAGACATTTTAGAACAAGGTTCAATGAGTATTGATGACTTACATTGCACCTGTCATGAATGCCATCCAGACACTTACAACCTGACCTCCTTCATATCCTTTATCAATAATCAGTTTTGCCCCATACCATGCTGTTAGACCATGGGTGCAGAACAGAATAAGCATAACGAAACCAAAGCCCAGGCCAGTAGCCGTTCCTTCTTGGACAGCAGATACATATGCATTCCTAATATACTTATTGTATAATGCAATGGCCCGATTCTCACCATTGAAGGAAGCAACCTTTCAAAAATTAACCCAAGAAGAAGTTGGTTACGAATCTAAACCAATAGTAAGGATTAAAGAGAATATTTAAGCAAGGGTCTACTGTTCTGATGGCTCCAATTGTCTGTTCAACGACAATGCCTGCTTCATTGTACTTAGCTTGACCCTGGCTTGACAGTTTCGATACAGTCCATGAAATAGCTGCTCCAGCAACTACTATAGGAGGGACACTTGACATCATAACAGCAGCTAAAAGCCATCCTTTAGAGAAAGCAATCACCAACCCTCCAACAAATGTGGCAGTAAGTTGTATAAACTTCCCAACCTGGAATGGAAACGAATATTTGAGTTGACTATCCAGAATAGACATCAGATCACAACAATTTACAATCACATATTCGCATATAAGCAAAATTTGTACTCCTTAATTCGAAACACAGAAGATAAGTTTAAATCATTAGATACAAATATGCTGCCTATGTGCTTTGTAGCTTTAGTAAAGTTAATATGAACCAGCATCACAATTCACAAGCTGACAATGATGTGTTTACAGTTTACATGGGTCAACCTTTTCACCAATTGCATCCTGGATAAGTATTGTATCTCCGGACATACTCTCAACCAATTGTCCAGTGGTCATTTCCTTGTCAAAAAATGCAATGTCTTGTCTCAATAGAGCTTCAAGATAGAGACCCCGTATGCAAGCTGCTTGTCTTTCTCCAGTGATGATCCAACACGCAACCTCTGATAAAACAATGAAAACAGTAACACCTTAGTGCTAATCTATAACTAGCAGTAACACCTTTAGATGCCCCTGGCAGTATCTATGCTGCAGAAAATGGATCTAAGTAGTTTATTACACCTGGTTAATGCTTCTCCTTTCTGAAAGAAGATAATGTTTGTTATGACCGGCACCCATTATACAAGGCGTAGGCCCATGTTAAGGCAAGTGGAGCCGCCCCAGGGGCCACGCGGTACTGTATGCTACAGTACCGCGTGGCCTTAGATTGGTTTGGTTTGCTAGGAAAGAAATATGTTAGATTGATTTGGTTAGGATATTTTCTTAAGGGTCAAGTCAGTCATCTCTATAAAAAGAGAACCTGTATCAGTTATAATCAAGCAGAAACAAGAATTGTTTCCGGCTTCCTGAAGGGAGCCGGGATTTCCTAACCCTAGCCGCCTCCTGCTGTGTCTCGCGTGAACAGTACCGCCGCTACTGTAGCACCGCGGGAATTCTAGGGCTGCAACAGCAGCCGCCGCGCTCTCGCCGCCACGGCCCCTCGCCGGCGTTGAGAGTACAGACCACGTCCTCCTCTCTTCCACCCCTATAACCTACGCAGTAACACCGGTAGGGCATCTAGTCCTATCAATGTTACTATGGGATTTCTTGGTTTCAGAGTTACGGACTTATGGCAATATGAATGACATACCATCATATGAATAGACTTACACATGATTAACGTATAGTTAGATGATTTATCATCCTTACATTGATCAATGGCTAGAGGCTTATGTGTAATTAGTATGATCTTTTTTGTATCTTTTTTGTCTCATGATTAGACTTTGTAAAACTTTTGCTCAGTTTAATAAAAGACTAGTAGGGGGCTTCCCCTCCTGTTTCACTCAAAAAAAAACATATAGTTAGATGATTGTGTCTTATTTATGGAGGGAAAATTTGGTTCCCATTCCTTGTGCTCATTTCATTCTTGGTATATGGTCACATGGGCTAGGTGCAAAACCGTCCTTTATTCTTTTCCATTATGAAGGTTAATAAGATTCAGTGGGTGACTGAATAACTAATATTCATCACTATAAAGGCTGACTAAAGCATAAACAGACACAATAAACAACTAAGGAAATGCTAGTACTCACGTAGGAAGCAAGCAATCCATGATCCAATGGCCAAATAGACACAATAAACCACTGAAGAAATACTAATACTCACGTAGGAAGCAAGCAAACCATGACCCAATGGCCAGATAGACGAACTTCAGGCACACCTGAAACAGCAGTGTTGAAGATTTTAGCTGAGGATGAAACCGATCTATTTTTATCGTAGGAAGATGTTATCCAGCAAATAATCAACAAATGGTACAATGGGTAGCAATCCTATTTCGTAGTACTATGGAGTGCCATGTGCTTACTAGTAACTAACACTACCCGTGTGATCAGATCATCAGAATAGTTGAACAGCTGGTCGAAGTACATCAACAGATATTCCCCACACTTTGCCTTTAGCATTCTAGGAGTACTCGTCAATCCCTTCCAAACTCCAAACTAGGAATGGCAACACAAGAGCTGCAGTTAAATGGGGATGGAGATTCTAGGCGTACCCCGGAGACGCGGTGCAGGATGTCGTGGCGGGAGCCGGAGCCGAAGGCGTTGACGACCTCGCCGAAGATGAGCGTCATGAGCAGCTGTGCCACGCCGCTGGCGACTGCACCCGCGGCACCCGCGGCCATGAGCACCGCGTCCGCGCCGTCCGCGAACCGGAACAAGCCGGTGCAGCCCAACCAACCCCTTCTCTTCCTCCTCCAGGCCAACCAACCCCTTCTCTTCCTCCTCCAGGGCTCCTGGTGCTGGTGAGGCCATCCCTCTCCCTCCTCGACTCCGCGTGCTCGACGACGGGGGAGTTGCATTGCCGGGGCGGAGACTCGCGGGAGGAAGCTGAGCGTGTAGCGAGCTGCAACTGCATTTTAAATCGCTAATCGGCTAGTCCATCTCTATGTGCGTATCTATATCTACGTCTATATTTGTATCTTATCTTTATCTATATCTATATTTATATTCTATATCTATATTTATATCTATATCTATATACATGAGATGTATAGTCACACCATATTGTGGTGGTGTCGAAGGTGAGACGTGAAAATCAGACGCCATAGTTGTGCCAAGATTCACTATTCTAGCAAGTTAAAAAAGTTGTGACCACCTAAACTTAGGCTCCGTTCGTTTCGCTGAAAAAACAAGCCAAAATATTGTTCCGACTGATTTGTTGTGAGAAAAAACACTGAAAAAAATAGATTATAAAAGAAGCAAAGACAATTGTTTTGATGAATGTGATAGCAACTCTATTGGGTTAGTTGTTCCGTAAAAAAACTCTATTGGGTTAGTTTAATTCGGTCCTAGACTTTGGTGGGCAGCTATGAGTTTTTAGCGTGGAAATAAATAGAGTTAATGTTTCAAGCCGGACTTGAACTAAGAATTTTTGCTTTTGGCAACAATATAATACCTCTGTCACCGTCAGCCACACACCAATACAGGGGCGCTTCACATCATCCTTATAAGGTCACCTCTGTAACCGAACCGTTCAATTTATAAGAGCACAAATATAATAGTAATCACCGAAATAATCAAACTATCATACTTAAACCCATGTAAACCGGTGGTCCAATGAAATCACGAAAGATCTCAAACAAACCAACATACAAACCAAGATTGTACATGATTCAACACAATCAGTCACATATTACATCATAGTTCATAAATAGTTCATAAATATTCCACATACATCGGAGTTCACATAGTTATTACAAAACAAGTTTAAATAGCGGAAGCAAAGTAGTTTGACATCAACATCACACTTAGTTCAAATACATATCATTACCATGATCATTTTCAGCAAAAGCAGAACAGAGAGGATATCTTAGGAGCACCATGCCCCATGGTTTAGTCCTCATCCATGGCAGGATGAAAGCAGTTCTTACAGTACCCATGATACATCATGTCATCTATAATAAGAGGGAATAAACCCTGAGTACGAGAATGTACTCAGCTAGACTTATCCGTCATAAACCAGAAATAATATGACACCAAGAAATATGCAGGGCTTTATCGGTGGAGTTAGCTTGACAACATTTTACATAAAAGTTTAAGTAACATAACTTGAAGATTCAGTAACTTTAGCATCAATTTAAATAACTATTTAATTAGGCATCTCTAGATTAGCACATCTACTAGAGCAATCATTTGATTAAGCTAACAAGCAATAGTAACCACAACCGGTGTAATAATTTGAGCATCATCATAATCATCAAGTTCCATCAATTAATGCTACGTTGTCGCCGCTCATCAATTAATGCTAGAAACTAGCAATTATTTAAGATTAAATAGGAAGACCATATACCAAGTATGATTACTGTAGATTTAGTATTTTTTTAGCTAGAGCATGTCAACACAAGATCATCAAAATTGGAATCATAATTTTATCACTTTCCTAGCTCAAGTTATGCATTTTACAAGATATAAACTACTTTAAAAGCACTTATCTAGCTCAATTTAATTCTCCTAGAATAATATCCCAAACAGTAGGTTTTATATTTTTATCAAATAATATAATTCATGGTGAATCCAATAAAATTTGGTTCACTCAATTTGGACACTCCTAACTCTAGATATGAATTTTTGAAACATGTATTTAAATCTGTAAAAAAAAGAAAATCAAAGAACACACAGACTGACAGATGGGGCCCGCAGTCAATGGGGCCCGCTCGTCAACGAAACAAAAACAGAGGACGGAGGTTGACCAGCGATAGCTCGACGTCGGTGAGGTCTCCGGTGACGAGGTTACCTCCGTCGTGTTCCACTCAACATCCCGCATCGAATGAGGTAGGTCGTCGGACCTCTAACGACGGTTGGCTACGGCGGCGGCGCTAATGGCGGCTCGACGGAGGCGCGCGGCGGCGCTCCAGCCATCCCCGACCATGGCGTGCTCGGGCGAGCACGGCTATAGCTTCGTGGTGACCTAGCGGAGCTCTAGGGTTAGGTCTAGGTCACGGTGGAGCGGCGGCGTGCTCTAGCCGCGTGCATGGCGGCGCTGCAACGCACAGCGCACGGCGGTGAGGTCAACGTTCCAACAAGACGACGGCCGAAGGCAGGTCTCCGTCTTCAGGAAAGACGATAAGGCTTTAGGCGACACGGTAACGGCACCCGAGCGGTATAAGGGCGGCCGGTTGAGGTCGGCAGCGACGAGCTCGTGCGCACGGCCAAGGCGGACGTGCACGGCACGGTCACGTGTTCCCGCGTGGCGGTGGCGGTAGCGGTTAAACCGGCTTTGGCCTTAGCATCTAGACCCTACGGCGACGAGCAACCAAGGGTGAGGGAGGTCAGAGGAGCACCGGTTGCGGCTGGCCATGGCGAGCTTAAGCTCGGCGGCGCATCGCGACCACGACAATGAAAGAAGATGTTTCTCAACTCCGCCTGCAAGAATGTTGGCCATCGTTCGTTGGGCATCTGTTCTCAGGCCTTTTTACCGAGTGTTTTCTTATGCGATCATCCATACGAATCTTCATACAGGTTTGGATTTAAGATTTGGAGCTATACAAAACGTGGGTATAACTTAAATGATCTGTTTCTGGATATACGTACTACAGAGTCATACAATTCTTCTTTCATCTAAAAAAAAGCCACAAGCCAGTAAGCCAACTTGTAATTGAAAAAATGGGGTTGAGCCCATCCCAATTAAAACCAAGGAGGATAATTAGCTCAGTATTAGCACACACACGGATCCAGCTAACCACAGAACTTGTTGGTCTCAATTAACGCATAGGATTGTTTGCTAGTTTCATCAAATTCTCCAATGAAATAGGGTCTTAATATTGCATTTATTTGAGCTTGTAGATGCTATTCTATTTTTTATAATTTGAATTAGAGAAAATTAACTTCAACAAATATAAAAATAAATTATAACTTGGAACAGAGAAAGTATTAATTTCTAATACACTAACTAACTTCAATCTGTTGGGAGTACTTCCACACATTAACAACTGAAGTAAGCAAATGAGCCCACTGAAATAAACTACTCTAGTGCTCGGACTTCGGAATAAAAAGGTTTCCAGTCTATTCAAGCTACTCTAAAATAAAAATACTACTCCCTCCATCCTATAATATAGTGTATTCAAGCATTCAAAAACTATACACAAATATAAAGGATTCTAGGGGATTATATTAAATAGTTGTATAAATTTGGTAGATATTATATTGCTACTTGTCATTTATCAATCAATCACCATTATGATTTTGATGATAGCGTTCGATTAGAAAATAAAATAAGGATACATGCATCTTTTGTGTTCTCTCTTAATCCATCTTGAAATCTATAAAATAATACATTATAGGACAGAGAAAGTACTTATCTTCTAAAGTTTGCCCCCCACATAACAAAGGATGTAAATTTGAATTATTATGCATACATTGCATTATTTAGAGTCTCCTTGGCATGGCTCCGGCTTCTTGGAGCTCTTTTCGTGAAGCCGTGCCAAACGTGCATTAAAAAAACAGCTCCTTGCAAGGAGTCTAGATGAGCCAAAACATTTTTCATACTATGCCGGAGTTGCAAAAATATGGCTTCTCTCATGGCTTTTGTAGGCTCCTCGTACTTAACACAAATTATTACCGAGCCGTTTTTGTTAAATGATTTCCAAAACGATTTTAGCTTCATCGTAGAAGCTGCTCTAGGTAGAACCCGAAGAGAGCCCTGTCACATTGGTCTTAATTAAAATATATGTTTTGGACAGGAGTTTGTTTTTATTAAAATATTTTTTTGGACAGAAATTTCCAGCCCTGGCCTGGGCCATGAGCAGGTCTATCGAAGAGCAGTAGCACTGTGAATGAGTTATCAATTCATCACAGACACTGTAACGTGAGAACAGTCAGGCCAACAATGCAGCAGCAGCCACACCAACTAACATGGCTTAATAACATCAGTGCAGCAACAACCCCCTGCCAGTTCCTTTCAATGGATTGATATGCATGTCCAAGTACTAATTCGGTGTAGTACTAGTCGAGTAACTTCCCTCAATGCCATGCCAGACATGCATCATCCTGGACATCAATTCGTCAGATTCCCACAAGAACAAGCTTCCCGTTTTGCATCCATGCCGCCAAGACATGCATGAGTTATGTAATCACGAAGTCATTCATGAATCGTGATCACTAGGCATTCAGCAAGCATCTCAGATGATCGGTCCATGAATTTGGATTCACTCGAATCAAAGCACGGATTCACGAATGAATGGTACTTAGAATCGAAGTCCAACAGAAAATTAACAATTCACAGGTTCACGCACACGTTCTGGTTGCTAGGAACACGGACATGTCAAAAACATGCGCCATGATGCCAAGAACCAAGAACACGGCCGTCGGCCGACATGCCAAGATCGCCAGGAAACGCATCCAAAAGGACACGCGCCTTCTAGGCGAAGAGCATGTCCGCGTGCGGGGTGAGGTCCTTGTGCGCCTCCTTGATGGTGGCCTCGGCGACGCCGGTGGCCATGGACACGTCGCGGACGGTCTTGCCGGCGCCGGCGCGCTGCACGACCATGTAGCTGATGGCGGCCGCGATGGACTCGGGGTTGCGCCGGACGTCGAGGCCGTTCTCGAGCCTCCGCGAGGCCTCCTGCGCGGCGCGCATCTCCTGGTTGCCCATCCCGAGCCGGGAGCAGAAGCGGCGCATGTAGTCGGCGGCGCGGACGACGCCGATGTCCATCACATGCCCAGCCTCCTCCCCGAGCACCTTCTTGATGAGCGTGGTCATCTTGCCGATCTCCTTCTTGGCGGCGGCGCCGGCGGCGGTGACCGTGGCCAGCTCCTTGTACGTCCGCGGCTTGCCCTCGTTGCGGCACGCGACGTAGAGGCA